AGATGGCGACCTCATTCGTTACAAAGGTAAGCTATATCTTCCCTCGGATTCCCCACTAATCCCGATTATCATTGCAAGGTTTCACGACAATTCCCACGAAGGGGCCCAGAAGACGATTTTTCGCGTCTCCCGAGAGTTCTTTTGGGTTGGACTGCGACGTGCCGTCCGCGACTACATCCAAAAGTGCCAGACGTGCCAACGTTGCAAGGGGGAGAACCTTCATCCGGCTGGACTCCTCCAGCCCCTGCCGATTCTGTCGCTTATCTGGAGCGACATTTCGCTGGATTTCGTCGAAGGCCTACCGAAGGTTCACGGTAAATCAGTGATTCTTTCCGTCATCGACGCCTGTCCAAGTATGCCCATTTCATTCCTCTCGGCCACCCTTACACGGCGGCCTCCGTTGCAAGCATGTTTTTTTTCGCAGGTCGTCAAACTCCATGGAATCCCGGAGTCTATTGTCAGTGATCGCGACGTCACATTCACGAGTGCCTTTTGGAAGGCGTTGTTTCGGTTCACCGGGACCACTCTATCGTTTTCCTCGGCTTATCACCCACAGACAGACGGGCAGACGGAGGTGACAAATCGCACAATTGCTTTGTATCTACGTTGTTTGGTCGGTGACTGCCCGAAGAAGTGGGTTGACTGCCACCCTTGGGCCGAATACTGCTACAACACCTCTTTTCACTCGGCGTTACAGACTTCACCCTTCCGTGTGGTTTACGGCCGCGACCCGCCACGTCTCTTGTCCTACGATCCAGGGGTGTCCAACCTTGACTCCGTTGATGTTGCTTTACGAGACCGCGATGCCCTTCTCACCTTAGTTCGGGACCACCTTAAGAAGGCTTAGGTTCATATGGCGCGGCTCTACAACCGTTCCCACCGTGATGTGGAACATACCGCCAACTCTTGGTCAATCGCCATGTGTTCCACAAGCTCTCGCCCCGGTTTTTTGGTCCTTTCCGCATCCTTGCGCATGTGGGTGACGTGGCATACCAGCTCGCCCTCCCTCCTTCCAGTCGGATCCACGACGTTTTTCACGTATCCTTGTTGAAGCCCTTTCACGGTGACTCACCGACGACAGCCCCTGGTCTGCCTCCACTGCACGATGGTCGAGTTTTGCTCCAACCCCATCTTGTGACCCAGGCTAGGTTGAATCGGAGGGTCCAGGAAGTTCTGGTCCATTGGTTTGGTGCTGGTCCTGAAGACGCTTCCTGGGAACCCGTAACCCGTTTTCGGTCGTTGTTTCTGGATTTCAAGCTTGTTGACGTAAAGGGGTGTGATGATACATTCGTTGGAAAAACATACCACAGGCGCAGGAAACAAACACAAGCAATTGAAAGCTAAACACTTAAAGGGTATTTATATTATGTTTTTTCCTTTAGTTTGTTAAGGTTGTTAAGTTGTTTTTTTGAAAGTCCTAATTAGGTGGAAGTGAACGTTAAGTTCCTTACGTATTTATTGGGTAGCTTTTTGAGTTCAAATCACCGATTATTTTGTTGGAGAAATCAGAAATTGTCTAATGCAATTTGGGAGAGGAAGAACTCCAAAACTCTTCATTCTTTTTCTATCTATCCTTGTTTCCTTAGCTGCTACTGCAATCATAGGGAAATCAAGGTCATCTAAGCCCTCGGTTCCCCCCGCTCGTCCCTCAAGCCCCGTCCGCCGCCCAGTGACGCGTTCACATACTCCCGGGCCCATAACATCCTCAAGGTGATGGTACATAGTGCTAACGCTGGCTGGAAACGACGCAGCAGCTGGAGTTCGCACTGCGGAGACTGATGCAGACTGCCCCCCGGCTTTGACGACGCTGGAGCTGTCTCGGTGTTCGTCGGTGGTGCTGCGTGGCTGTTGGAGGTGAAAACTGGCTCCTTTCCGGCCAGAAATTCAGCCTGGTCAGCTAGCACTGCGTGAAGCGATTGGACCACCCCGCGAATCGCAGTAACAGAGTCGGCCAACGTCGTGTCACCCATGATGTCATAATGAATAAAATGTTGTTGATTTATAGTATTTTATATTTAAAACTAGAGAAGCTTGAACCAATGATACTCATGTCCAACAGAACCCACTCTTCTGGCTGCCATGGTTTACATGGGCTGAATGGCTGTTATAAATCCACTCTTCTTGCTGCCATAGGATGTCTGGAACTTCACATACCAGAGCATATGTATATTTACCACCTCAATCGTGAGATTGAAGCATATGTCATGTCTTCACGGGAGGATGTCATCGATCTGCTGTGATGAAGAAAGGTTGAAATTAGATAAAGAAGCTGAATCTGATGAAATGACCATTTTAACCCCTACATTAACACCTAACAAAGTGAAAGTTAACGGAAGGACTAATGGTGGAACAAATTTGAAAGTAAAGTGTCTTTTTCGTCCAAATTAAAAGACGGAGACCAATTCTGGAAAATCACAATAGTCGGAGGACTATTGCTGGAATTAACTCTTACCAAATTGGTCCCTTGACTATTGCGAAATTATCAATTTGGTCCTCGACTATTTTTTTTTACCCAATAAAGTCATCGACTTTGTAAATGCTAATCAATATGGTCCTTCGTTAGGTTCGGGGTCTAAGGTCTGTTAAAGTGGAGGGTAATACTTATGAGAAAAAAAATGTAAAATGCTAAAATTCCATTTTTGGTCCTAGATTTATATGTGTCATTCCACTTTTAGTCATTTTCTTTTTCAAAACATTCCCTTTTGGTCCTAGTATTATTGTGGCATGCAGGGGCGGATCTACAATGGGGGCACCTGCCCCCTCTCCCCACCCCCACCCCATATATAACCTTGTATGTATATATGTATATATAATACCAGTTTTAGTATAAGTATAAGAAAATAGATAAAAATTAATAAGAGATGGTTAATTAAATCAGTTATAGAAGCATGTGTTTAGTCTTAGGAGAGGCTAGGGTTCAAATCCTAATTATGGCTTTTCAACACAGACTAAGTTTCTTTTCAACACACATATATATATAACCTTCTTTTACATTAATAATGAGATGGTCATGTTACAATAGTACTAGGACCAAATGTGCTTGTTCTAGTAAAAAATGGACTAAAAGTGGAGTACTACCTATAGATTCAGGACAATAAATGAAATTAACTCTACTTTTAAATGAAAATGTAAAAGTATTACATTTTTGTCCAAAAGTATTACACTTCTCCATATAAGTAATAAACGTTTTATACTAATTAATATTGCATTTTTCAGTATAAGTATTACATACATTTTTCATCTTAATTTTACTGATAGACAAAGATCCGTGAGATGATCGCACACAAAATTTTATCTGAACATTATGTTTTGCAGCTTACATTTGCTTGTACACTCTTAACACAATGAATATTCCTCACTTCCGATCAATTTTTGAGTAAGACTTCTAGAAAAATCCTTGAACAATTGATCCAGTTAAATTCGGTGGGACATATTTAATTATTTAAACACGGTGAAAGCACTGCTGGAAATTATAAAATTTTCGACCATCTAGAAGTAATCTTAAATCAAGTCAAAAGTAAAAAGTGGTAGAAAATAGCAACAAAAGTTTTTTCAGATACCAAAAGTGGTCAGAACAAGGTTTTCGAGTTGATTTAAGATCACTAACAAGTGGTTGGAAATTTCATAATTTCTAACAGTGAAGCTAGTTTTGCACAATGATGGAGAGCTTTATATAAAGGGAAGTAGCATTTCAACTCTTTTGTTAGACCGTATAAGAAACTAAACGGAGATCGAGTTGTAAAAATATTGCATATATTACCTATTGTAAATGTAAAAATGTGTTAATATAGGAAGGTCATAACTCATAAGTTCAATCTTGTTATCATCATATCCCTCAGTTGAACTCTAACACATTTGATGAAATTAAATCTTAAAATAGAGGAGTAAATATATGGGAAATACTGTAACTATTATTGAACATTATCCGGCAACCTTGCTCGAGAATATATGTATGATGGTATCTAGTTTAAAACATAGCTTAGTATTCAAAAAAAAAAAAAAAAAAAAAAAAAAAAAAAAAAAAAAAAAAAACGTTTAAAACATAGCTTTTGAGATGTAAAATAGAATAAAAGAAGGATTATTGTGAGTTTCCATGCAACTGAGTCCCGACATTCTCAGATCGAGATTCCGACTACACATTCAGCAATGATCTATCTCCAGCTTGCCAATCCATTATTATTATATTTGTCGATGTACTTGTGTACCTATACTGTATGCTGGAACCCACTCTACTTTATTCTCTCCCAGTTTTTTTCTTCTTTTTTCTTTAATAATTTAAATCAAATTTCAAATTACCAATTATGGGTTTGGAACTTTGGGTGGGAGGCTATTCATTGAGAATAAATAAATAAATAAATATAAATATAAATAAATAAATAAATAAATAAATAAATAAATATATATATATATATATATATATATATATATATATATATATATATATATATATATATATGTATGTATGTATGTATGTATGTATTGTATGTATGTATATATGTATGTATGTATGTATATAAATAGGCATGTGGGCCTGTAAGCCTAAAGGCCGAGCCTGGTATATATAGGCTTGGCCTGTTTAGTTTAATACATTTTGAAATTGGCGTAACCTGACCTTTTTACTAAACAAGCTAAACCTAACTAAGTCTTAATTAGGTCAGGACATAGGCCCTTACAAGGAGTCTGGCCTATTTTCACCCCTAATTATGGTATTAATAGTTTTTTTCTATATTTCAATAATTGTACTTTACAAATATTATACTATTATTATTTTTATCGGACAAAATTGTTCTCACATCGTTAAAGTTCCACACACACACACGATTAACGAAAGTGATTCAATCATTAACAGGATAATAGGAAATACAGAGTTATATCTAATACTGAACTCTAACCTACACCTGACTATTAGCATCATAGTATAACTACCATAGACTTAATCAATTACCACACAAATACAAACATGTGTTACACAAATAATAATATAAGAAATATTAACTATACTAACACACCCCCTCAAGCACAAGGTCGGAAAGCCTCCACATTGAGCTTGTCCCGTAAAGCAGCAAACCGCGGTCCTGAAATGGTTTGGTGAAGACATCTGCTAGCTGATCAGTGGTAGACACATAGTTGACCAGAAAATTCCCAGATGCTACTTTGTCACGGACAAAGTGGTAGTCAATCTCAACGTGTTTCGTCCTGGCATGAAAGACCGGATTAGCGCAGAGATAAGTCGCACCGAGGTTGTCGCACCACAAAGTCGCGGGTTCCCCTGAATGTAGCCCTAACTAACGCAACAAAGAGTTAATCTAAGTAACCTCGGCGGAAACATCAGCAAGGGCTTTGTATTCGGCTTCTGTTGACAAACGTGCAACAGTGCGTTGCTTCTTGGATAACCAAGATATGAGATTCTTACCCAGAAAGACTGCATACCCGCTCGTACTCTTCCTATCCAGCGGACACCCAGCCCAGTCAGAGTCGGAGTAGGCATGTAGGCGGTGGATGCGGATGGTGTGAGACACAGCCCGTAATCGAGAGTCCCCTTGATGTAGCGCAGGACACGTTTAACCAGAGCCCAGTGATCAACTGTTGGCGAGTGCATGAACTGGCACAACCTGTTTACAGCGTATGACAGATCTGGCCTGGTAATAGTAACGTACTGCAAGGCACCTACGATGCGCCGGTATTGTGTGGGATTGTCAAATAATTCCTCCGAGGGTGTTACTGCCTTGGTTACTGCAGCTGGTGTAGCAAGAGGCTTGCAGTCCGTCATACCAGCGCGGCCCAGTAGGTCCTTCATATACCGACGTTGGGAGAGAATCAGTCCCGTGTCTGTTGTAACCGTTTCAATCCCTAAAAAGAAGCTCGACGTGCCCAGATCCCGAATTTTGAAGGTGGTTGACAAACGGCGCAGTAAATCAGTCACAAGCTTCGTGTCGTTGCCCATCATTATTATGTCATCAACATAAACCAACAAAAATACCCGTGAAGCCCCTGCAGTATAATAGAAGAGAGATACGTCCGTTTTGGACGAATTAAACCCCGTAGATAACAAGAAATCATGAAGTTTTTTGAACCAGGCTCGGGGTGTCTATTTCAGACCATACAGGGATCTCTGTAGGTGACACACATGACCGGGATTTGTTGGGTCTTCGTAACCTGGTGGTTGCTTCATGTAAACAGTTTCTGCTAGGTGGCTGTTCAAGAAGGCATTGTGGACATCTAGCTGGCGCGGAGTCCATCCGTTCGACACAGCTAGAGACAGTAGCATGCGAACCGTGGTCGGTTTAACCACGGGACTGAAAGTGTCGAAAAAATCCTCACATGCGACTTGATTAAACCCTTTGGCTACAAGGCGGGCCTTGTGCCGTTCTATTGAACCATCAGCGGTGCGTTTGGTGCGGAACACCCATTTGCACCCGATTATATTCATGTGGGGTTCCGGTGGTACAAGTCGCCAAGTATTATTATGAATGAGAGCATTAAACTCCTGATCCATTGCCTCGCGCCAGTGCGAGGGCCCACAGCCTGAGAGTAACAAGTGTGATCTATGGTGATATTTAGAGCCTGGAACTGCTCATTAGTCCCCCGAGTCATGCGCCGAAGTCGCATAACGTGAGGTTGCGGCTGCGGTTGAGCACGTTTCCATCTTGTTCTGGCCGGGGCAGTGTGAGTGATTGCTAACTGAGGTGATTCTTGAGCCAGCGGTATAGGTTCATCACAATTCTGAACAGGAGTGATGTCCAGTCCATGTGGTTGAACACGTGCCACAACGGGGGCAACAGCCCATGGTAGCAGCGTTGGTGTTGAGCCTTTGTTTACGGGATCTGTAAAAAAAGGAAACACTGATTCGTCAAACCTGACATGACGGCAAGAATAGGATTTCCCACTTGTCAAATCAAGACATCTGTACCCCCTAAAGGAGACCGGGTAACCTAGGAACACACACGGGGCAGAGCGGTACTCTATCTCGTGCCGATTATATGGGCGTAGATAAGGGTAGCACCGACACCCGAAGACGCGAAGGAATGTGTATGGGGGAGACACTTTGAAGAGACGAGTGTATGAGCATTCAAATTGTATGGCTGAGGATGGTAAAAAATTAATTAGGCATGTCGCAGTTTCAAAGGCATAGTCCCAGTATTCATGGGGTACGTTACCTTGAGCAAGGAGAGCAAGGCCGGTTTCAACAATGTGTCTGTTCCGCCGCTCGACTCTCCCGTTTTGCTCATGTGTATAGGCACATGACTGGCGATGATTTATACCTAATTTTTCGAAGGTTGTATGTAATTTACGGTATTCACCCCCTAAATCCGATTGAATAGACTTGACAGAACTCGAAAACTGGCGTTCTACCAACACACGAAACGACTCAAAAGCTTTATATATGTCTGATTTCACCCGTAATGGGTAAAACCAGCAGAATCTTGAGAAATCATCTACAAATAATAAAAAGTAGCGAAACCCACTAGTTGATAATACAGGAGATGGACCCCATATGTCCGTGTATATCAAATCTAACACGTTTTCACTACAATAAGAATTATTTTCTAATTTAAATCGGGATGACTTCCCAAGATGGCATGAGGTGCACGACTCGATGGACGCAGTTTTATTGGAGGTGACCGTGCAACTTTTCAGTACTTTGTTCAGAACGTGTTTGTGCGGGTGACCGAGCCTGCGATGCCAGATCGTGGGATTGGTACGGGAACTCAAAAGTGCAAACTGTGACCGAAACAGCGGAAGCTTGTACAAACCACCCGTAGTGGGACCTCTAAGCAGGACCGCTTTGGTTGTGGAGTCCTTCACAATAAAACAAGAATTGTGAAATTAAAAAAAAAAAACAAAGCATTATTATCAGTAGTAAATTTATGCACTGATAATAAAGGAACAGATAAGGCCGGGACATGTAATATGTTATTTAATTTTAAGGATTTTGACACAGATGGGATTAATGCATGACCGACTTGTGAGATTTCCAAACCTGCGCCATTACCAACCCGGAGGACATCAGGACCCCCGTACTCATCCGCATGTGTCATCATTCCTGCATCCGGTGTAGCGTGTGCCGTCGCGCCGGTGTCCGGGTACCACCCGTCGGCCGGTGACTGCCGCCGCCGGTGACTCGCCGGATAACGCCACATGGGCTTGCGCCGGCGGTTGAGTAGTGTACCTTTTGTAGCAGTACATGGCGGTGTGGCCGTGAGAGCGGCATATTTGACATCGCGGTGCGCCACCACCTCCACGGCCGCCTCTATTCTGCCCACGTCCCTGCCGGCCACCACGGCTTGACGCCGATTGTCCAGTCCGACCGCCACTGTTCTGGCCGGGTCCGGGATTGGTGTACAACGCGGTGTGTGCCGCCGTTCCGTTCGCCGGGGGATAATCATCAACTAAGATGAATTCATGCGCCTGCAAAAAATCCAATAAGTGTGATAATGTCACCGGATTTCCAGAAGCCGTGAGGGAGGTAGCAAGGGTCTTCAGTTCTGGCCGTAGTCCGCATAGTACATACAGATTTTGCTCCATGAGCGTGAGAGGCCTGCCAGCTTGTACCAGTGATTCGACTAACACGCCGGCACGCCCCAAGTACTCGGCGGTTGTGGAGTTTCCTTGGCGAAGCAGTTGAATCTGCCCCAACAGATTCAGGCATCGGGCCTCACTCGAAGAACCAAGGGCGTTGGTGATGGAGGTCCAGACCTCGGCAGCGGTGTTCCGGCCGAGCGCCAAGTGCAAAACTTCATCTGACATGGATGACACCAGAAGTGAAAGGACCGATTGATCCTGCTTCACCCACGCACTATACGTGGGATTTGGGGTTGATGTCGCCGGTGTTGCACTGGAAGAGTCACCTGAGGACAGAGCGGGAGTGATGGTCGCCGGCGGACACGGGAAGGAACCATCGACATAGCCCAGAAGCTCCTGCCCCCGGAGAAACGGTATCAATTGCGTACGCCAGAATAGGAAATTCCTGGACGTGAGCTTCATTGATACATAATGATGAGCTCCGGCGAGGGAGTCACCACTGGCCGGCGAGGGAGTCCCGGCAGCGGAGACGGTGTGCTCCGATGAATTCATCGACATGGCCGGAGAGAGAGAGGGTGAGAGGTGGTAGCGTTTGTGCGGTGGAGGTAGAGAGAATCGTAACCTGTCTGATACCAGATTAGCGAAAGTGATTCAATCATTAACAGGATAATAGGAAATACAGAGTTATATCTAATACTGAACTCTAACCTACACCTGACTATTAGCATCATAGTATAACTACCATAGACTTAATCTATTACCACACAAATACAAACATGTGTTACACAAATAATAATATAAGAAATATTAACTATACTAACACACACACACACACACACACACACACACATATATATATATATATATATATATATATATATAACCTTGATTTATGTCTATTTTTCTGTTAATGTTTTTACACATTATGATGTAAGAATTGTAAAAAACATGTTTTTGGAACAAAATATCCCTACTGTTATACCTTTTGTTACATTTTGCTATTATTATTACCATGCACATGCATACACAATATATTTTCTTATATTCTTCAATGGAAATAATATATGTATTCTTCCAAAGGCTGAACCCCAACCCTAAGGGCCCCCCACACCCCGACCCGACAGAGCATTTGGGAGGATATAATAATATATGTATGACATTATATATTGGAGTAATATAAGAAACTGTAATGTTAAAGACCCCTAATATTTTCCCTTCCAATCCATCCCTCATGATGCAACAACATCTAATTGATAACTATAAATTCTATTTTTAGTCCTAGATTTATAAGTGACAATCTACTTTTAGTTTCTTTTTCATATCATCCTCCCTTGTTCATAGTATTATTGTGACATAATCATTTTTGGTCATCCGTCAACAAAATTGTTAAAATATAGTTAAATACAATGACATTTTGATCTTTTTGTACAAGGTGAGTTGACCCAATATATTTTTATTTTTATTTAAAAAAAAAAAACAGAATTGAAGACCTAAATGTCATTGTATTTTACAAAATTTAAAATGTTGTGTTAATGGAGTACCAAAAATGATTATGCTAGAATAATACTAGGACCAAAGAGGGAGATTTTGAAAAAAAAAATGACTAAAAGTGGATTGTGACCTATAAATCTAGAACCAAAAATGATATTAACTAATTCTATTTTGAATTAGTGGTAAGGTCAGCCAATTTATGGAACCCAATGAATGAATGTCACATCAAGAGAAAAAATATTTAATTTGAGGTAAAATTTAGGATGGAAAAAAGTATTTTCCTATAAGAAATAAGTTTGATTTTATTTAGATTTAGTTAATTGTAATTGATAGCGTAAATAAAACTAGGGTTACGATTACACTACGAATACGTATATTTGTGAACAAGTAGGAGAGAGCGCTCGTAGGTCGGTCGATCGATCTACCGGGTGCCAACTGAGCAATTCGAGACTGAGTAGTATTACAAGTATTAAGTGATTACAAGTGGGTTGCAGCTGTAGGGTGCAACTTATGAGCACGTTGCTAAAATAGTCTAGGCTGCAATTGTAGAGTGCAATTTATGAGCAGACTGCTATTACATAGTGAAGATAAGTAGTAGGGAGTAGATGTTGTAAATGAGATGAAGATGAGAAATGAGGGGGAGACCCTCATATTTATACAAACTAAGTCGGTCTACGCATTTAATGCACCTGCTGCAAGTGGCTTGACGTGGCGCCTTCTCGTTGGCCTGATCAGGCGGTCACTCTGCAACTACTCGTATGTTGACTGACCGAGGTGACAGAGCCGCCCTACTTGCAAGCTGTCAGTCACCGCTCTGCAGGCGCAAGTTGGCCCCTATAACTTGTCGTATAAGTTACATTTTCGGCTCTACATGCTACGTCGCATTGTAGGTGCATGGCTTCCCGTTGGGGCGATTCCAAGGGTGATCCG